TGTTAGATTGCAAGATATGAAAATAGCCACATTCCATTTGTATGAAGTTGCTGGTATTAGTTGGATGAGGCTCTATATCATTATGGAACAAACAGCTCATCACTTATAGCCAGAATTTAGTCCTCATATGAATTAATAATTTGTTCTGAGGATCCTGGAAATCCCACTTACCATTATTGACAATTTGAGGCATTTATTTACACTGGAAAGAATGAGAACACCATAAAAACTTCTGCGCAACCTAAAACATCATGGATGAAAAATCATAACAATTATTTTATAAACGACTGGTTTAAATGTCATGTATATGACATTACCGTAAAAAGACATTTTTTTCCCTAATACTCCCATTTGTCGTCTATATTTATTGATGGAAGTCTACAAAAACAGGCGTAAGTAGAGATGAGCGAGCATCTGAACATAGAAGCACCCACAATCAACTGAAAACTGTTCGAACCAGAAAACATGAGATAAATCGCAGGTTTTGTTTTTAAGTTTGAGAGTGGAGTGCAAAAGTAATATATGATCTGATGGTCAAACAAACTTCCAAATTAAAGACCAAAGTGCAGCAGCAAAATCCTGCAAATTCAAATATTAGGTGGATTGTTTTAACATTGCAACATTAATATCAGCAGTATGCACAGCTATTGGGTCCGAGTCCTGCTATTTTCTGCTGCCCTCACTTGCGAGAAATACGGATGGGCCTAAGACCAATAGCAAAACAGCCAATGATAAGCTACAGGGTTAGAGTTCATAAAAAAATAAAGCAAACGACGGGATTGAGATTAAAAGAACACAAAATAAAGCATGACAAAATCATGCAGAAAATTTGAATCATCTATAATTGCAAACCCCCTTGTGGTTTGTAAGTTCAAGTTGCACCGGTTTTGAAAAATAGCTGGCTTTTTTTCTGTAATTAATATAAAGAGCATTTTTGTGATTGATGCAAACACTTATCACCAAGCAAAGCCGAAAGTGAAAAAACTACCATGGCTTCTCTTGCTGTGAGCCTTTCCTCGTGATCATAACGCAGAAGTTTGTCGAGGAAATCAATGGCCTGTTAGAAAATAATACAAACAATTTCGTAACTTGAAAACTATGATAAGAAAAGACAGTTGACATTGTATGCAGGATGCTCAGGATTTTTAAAGGGTAAAAGCGAGAGGTTGAATGGATCCACAGACCTCTGGCGACACAAGATGCTGATTCTCTGGAGTGACAAATTTTGACCAGGGTTTTCTGCTGTGCCTATCAAATGGAAAAGTAAAGAATTTTATGTGCTATTATGTTATGTAAATATCAGTGTTCTAAAAATAGCTTAAATTTAGCCATAAAAATACCCCCTTTTTAAAGTTTTGAAAATATTACTCAAGTACCAGAAGTAAAACACTAAACTCAAATAACAATAGCCAATTATTTTCAATAAAGGACAGTTGGTGGCAGCTGCAATTGGCCAACGGCGAGATGGAGAGGACTGTTGACGCCACACGATAAGCGGTGGCTCAATTAAACAACAGCCCTTAGTGTGAGATCGAACGGTATTATTTAATTGTGTAATGCTATTTTTCATTGTGTTTGTTGTTATTTTATTATGATTTATTTATAAAAATATCAATACCAAAAGATAATAACATCTACGCATATGATAGTACTATATGATAAAAAAAATAAAATAAAATAAGACACAAATAAAAGAACATCATATTTGGTTGTCACTGCTCTCACACCAGGATTTGTTTCTTTTAGAACTCTACCCTCCATATATATAGGGTTTGGCTCAAATAAACCCTTAGTGTGAGAATGATAGAGTAAAGGGCGAATGTAAATGAAACTAAATATTATTATATAAAAAATATAGAAAAGAACACAAGGTTCTCCAAGAACACAAAGTTCGCCTCGGGAAATAATCCCGCCCAAGCTAAAAAGCCGACAAACAATATAGTTTCTCTCAATACCTAATGTTCACTTCCTCACAACCCTTTTATAAGCAAATTATTTATATAAGGTAATAGATAATAAAGAATAAATAACATAGCGAATCTAATATATACGATTATCTTAATCGAATCGAATATGAATCACAAATTAAATTCGATAACAAATCGAATACGAATACGACTATCCTAATATTTTTACGAATTCGAATCCAATAATTGAGTAATCACTTCGATTCGATTCGTTCACAACCCTAATTAGAAGTATAAGTCAGTCCATTTGTTTAACTTTTTTTATATCAAATTTTTTGTCTTATGGCATATACCTCCCAACAAGAGCTTCAAGTTGAGGATCAAGCTCCAAACAGTATTTGTGTAAATATGCATTCAACTCATCCGTCCCAAGTACCTGCAACAACAATCTGACATCAGGTATACAAAGGAAGAAATAAAATAAGAAAATTTATGATCTTTTTGAGAGGCAGTACTATGCTATTATACGAAAAAAAACATTAGTAGAAGCAAATCCAAATGAGAAGAGAGCAACTGCATTAGAAGCAAACCAACAAATCAAAAATCACTTAAAAAGTATTACCCTAGCAATTTTGACAAGTTGATCTTGATTGTCATGTCCGTAAAAGAAATGTTCCTTCCGGAAAATCTGCAGTAACACCAAGGTTACAAGAAGCAGAAAGAGGTCACTAAGGAAAAACATAGTTGAAAGATAAGAGAAATGATGGCCCACTCTAGACTCTCACCATTCCCGCAAACATGCAGCCAAGGCTCCACATGTCCAGAGAATAGTCATAGTCTTGCAAGTCAACAAGAAGTTCTGGACCTTTGTAGTATCTAGATGAAAACAAAATCAGGATAACTCATACCCAGTAATATTCTGAAGACATGCAAAAAGTGGCATACATAAAATCTCAAAAGGAAGAAGTAAAAGGAAAAACAATAAGATCCTCCTTCATCATTATGGTTCTGGGGATGTACATAAAAGTACGTAACCAATAAATGCTGGGAAAAATGAGGGGTGAAGGAGAAAGGGAGAGACAGAAGGAGAGAGGAGAGAGGTGNCATAGGTGGATGAATATCATTCCAATATTTGAACATGAACTTAATAAAGTTATTAAATGAGATTTTCAAGTTTCAAAAGAAAAATAAAAAATAAAGACGAAAAACATTATCAATGAAAATCAAAAGGCATTATAAAGAAAGCTATAAGTCAGGTTTACAAAGGATAAGATCTCAACACTTCCTATCTGATAAAAATAGATGTTACTTACCTTGAAGCAACACGAACATTATACTCCTTGCCGGGATGGTAAAATTCTGCAAGACCCCAATCGATCAATCGAAGCTTTCGCAACTCATGGTCAATCATAACATTGTGAGGCTTGACATCTCTGTGCATTATTCCCTGCGAGTGACAGTGATCTAGTGCCTATAGAAGCATAAAGAAACTTGTCTTAGATAAACTATTAATTATAAGAACTAAGATCCTAAAGTATATCTGACAAGTAAACCATGCATAAATTTCTTTCTGACGAAGTTGTTTACGAGATTCCGTGCCACAATAGCTCATTAAAATGAAAGAAAGGTTAAAGTATCAAAAGTATAGCTCCAAAGCATGGTCATGCAAATCAAATTCTTCTGTTTCGTTCGATAAAGAAGTCATGAAACTGTTCAAACGGAAATGTAAACAAGGCAATAAATCAGAAGAAATTGAGTAGAGATCTAATCCACCAAAGTAACAAGGTAACGAAGAGCTTCCTTGGGCATGGACAAGAGCACTGCACTTGCCCATCGTTGACCAACGCTCGGTTAAATCCTACCCAGCAATACTGGCCCAAAGTAACAAGGTAACGAAGAGCTTCCTTGGGCATGGACAAGAGCACTGCACTTGCCCATCGTTGACCAACGCTCGGTTAAATCCTACCCAGCAATACTGGCCCAAAAACAAAAGGCTACTTCTACAGAAATTTCTAACCAGAGCATAAATAAATCGTTTAAATAATGTAATCCACTTGTTTCTTAATTTGTAAATTCCATGGCTCCTTCTATTAAGGCATCAGAAAATTATATACCTCCATTCTACTAAGAGCCTGAGTGTTTATAAATTACCTAGTCAACAGATAATTTTTTTAACTCAAATTTAACTTCACTCAACCCTCCTTAGTGTTATCGATATAATTAAATAATACTAATCATCATCCTCACCCATCACATCAACTCTAATTCACTATTCATCCACTCACATAACTTTAACTACTCATCACTTACAATCATTCCTCTCCTATTTTTTAATCAAATCAACTTTAATTATTATATTTTAAATATTATTGTAATACAAACTCAAAGTCCCACTCAAATCTAGCTCAATCAACTCTTTCAAAAAATTAACTATGATTATCTAACAAATCTAATCAAATCCAAAATAAGTTTTATCGATTCACCCTCTAAGAGTAAGGGTGGCAAAACATCCCAAATCCAGCCTGGATTTAACATAAATTCAGTTAACTTAAGGGGCTTGCTGATTGGTGTTTAAGAATTACAGGTAGTAGACATTTCTAACCTTAGCAAATATAATCCTTACAACCTTTCTTATGATAATCAATATACGAGCATATCCTAATGGTTGGATTTGCCTCTTGTCAAAGGAAATAAAATCACATAGAAAGATGCGGATCATGATTGGCTTTATGCCAATGGTAAAAATTAAAGATTTTCATTTCACCTTGAGAAGCTCATATATGTAATAGCGTATGTCATAATCTGTCAATGTAGGGTACAAAACTTTGTAATCTGTGCTATTCACAAATTCAAATATCAAACTCGGAGTTTTTGAGTGTTGATCCCTAACGATGTCCAAGAGTTTGACAATATTGGTTCCCCCGCATAGGTTCTGCAGTATCTTGATCTCTCTCTTTATCTGCAAAGAATTTGACAAGTTAAGGGGGTGTTTGTTTATAATTTTTTTCAACTCTTTGTCATCCATACTCAAAATCTAAGTCAACATTAACGCAACATCACTATCTTAAATATTATCAATATAATTAAATAATATCAATCAATCATTCTTACACAACTTTATTTCATATTCATCCACTCACATAATTTTAATTAACCATCATTCACATCATCTCTCTCCTACTTTCACATCAAATCACCTTTAATTTTATATTCAATATTATTTTAATATGAACTCAAAATCCCACAACTAACCATACCACTTTTTTTAAAACTAACCATCGTTAACCAAAAAATCTCGCTTTGAGCGGATATATTTGTATACAAACACGCCCTAAAGCTCTCACTGATGAGCTATTGATACACTCAACTATTATTTTCATATTTTTCTGCAGCTCATATTCAATAAGAATAAGCACTATATGGACAAAACATACTAAGGCAGTATAAGACATACATAATGCGACTAAAATTGGAGACACGATATCACTAATTTGCTTTGGTTTGTAACAGAAATCAATTAACATAAATATATTTGAATTTTAATGTTTATAATTCACCAACACCTAATCAAAACGAAAAAAAGAATCCATGTAAAAGTAGAAGAATAAGTATGAATTAGGCATATCTGAGCATACAAGAGAAAACTCACCCTTCAGATTTAAACTACAGAATAGGTCTTGCTTAGAAACTGAAAGATCTCAAACAATCTTTATTTGCAGTCTGTTGGTGAATTGAAAAGGATAACAAACTACCTTCTTCTTCTTAACAGGCTTCAGAATCTTGATTATGCACCTTTCATTGCTGTTCACATTTATACCTTCAAAAACTTCACTATATTTCCCCCTTCCAACCTTACGAACAACCTCATAGTCATCCTGGTCACTGATAACAGATACCAAGGGTATAGTTAACATTAGTTTAATATCTGCTGGAAGTGCACATATTCAGTATAATCTTGCATTGAAAGTAAGGAACATATTCTTAATTGTTTCATATGGAATGTAGTTCGCTCTTCAACAGCACATATCAAAAGTGGTCAGGTCAATCATGCTAAAAACCTACTCGACCATGTGATGGGAGAATGAATGCATGAATGTACCAACCAGTATTAGGCTTAAAAAGAATTAACATCCAAAATGAATGCCGCAAGTGACTCGAATCAATGATGTGAGAAAAAAAATATGGGCAAGGAGTATCTATGTTACACGTCAAAAGATGCGTTGGAAAATTGCTAACACTCTCCGACTCAAGAAACGTCTCAACACTTCTATATTCGCTAACACTCTCCGACTCAAGAAACGTCTCAACACTTCTATATTCTCTCATCTTCATCGTTTATAGGTCACAGTGATTTCATGCATTTACAAATGAGTCAAAGTACTAAAAACTGGAGGTTATTCAAACAAAGCAACTAGGGAAAGAACCAAGTATTCAACTCGAGGAAAACCACAATGAACTAGATGAAGAGCCATGATTTCACAGATAGTTAAACCTCAATGTTTCCCCCATCCAATAAGTGGCCCTAAGCGTAAAAACTCTGTATATACATTTAAAACCAATCTCAGAGTTGCATAATCCACAAATCTAGGTCGAACATCCAAGAACAGGAGTTAACCACGTATTAGGGTCCGGGAAGCACATAAATCAAGCACAGCAAATGTCCAGGATAACTCACCCCCACTGGACGGTGAGATTCTCGTAATCCCAGTATTCCCTGGGTCGCAGCACGTTGACGTCTGTATAGACCCGCGCTTTCGACATCAGCGAGGCGTGGATGTTCGACTTGACGGCCTCGTCGATTTTAGCAACTGCTGCAAAGGACGTAAGAAGAGGCAGCCGCCGCCGCGTAAGGAGCTGCACAACCGGCGCGCGCAGGGCGACGATGGCGCAGACGAGTGAGATGGGGAGGAGCAATCCGGGGTAGTGCGCCAGCGGCGATTGCTTGCACAACTCGATTTTCTTCTATGAATTGGAAGGGTTACGATACTTATTATTATGATCTCCTTATCCAAATTGGGTGAAGGCGTTTGATTTTCAAAGATATGATGAAAACCGAACAGCTAATTTCAAGCACTGAAATGAAACCTAACGCATATCATTGGGCACTGTTGTACATGACCCCTGAATAAGGGTGCATTCGTTTAGGATTTTAAAAGAATTTTTAATATTTTGTGGGATTTTATCAATTCTCATGCATTCTCATGAATTTTATAGAATTTATTAAAAATAAAAATAAAAATATTAGAAATCCAACAAGTTATATCTGGTATTTTTTAAGGAGAATTTATTCATTTGGGATGTCTAGAGAGTTTTATAGACTTCAGAAATCATGTTATATTTAATTTAGACCTTTGGTATTCATTTTAATTCTTAAAAAGACTTACAATATCATGAGTTATTTAACTTATTTGAAGTAAGAATTTTTAAGGCTTTATAAGATTTAACGTGATTAGTAAAGAAAAAACTCAATCCGAAATCTCACTCCAAATTCCACTTAAGATTTTACAGGATTCTTCCAAAATTTGAAAATTTTAAAAATTTTCAAATCTCAAATTTTTAAAATGTTACTCGAAATCTTAAACGAATACAAGCCTAAGACTTCTATAGATTTCATAAGACTTTCAAGAGTTTTATAGTTTTTTTTCTTTTTTTTTTTTTAATTTTTACATTGAATAAATATAAACGTTTTTATGTAAATATATCGTTATGAGAATTTATGAAAATTTTATACAAATTAATTTGAACATGGATCAATGTAAATTTTTATATTTACATTTGTCTATTTATCTTTTTGTATAAATATTAGGTCAACTACCCTATGAATATTAGCAATAATGAATATAGGAAAAAATGTTGATGTAGCACCTACAAACAACTCGGCACTTATGTCTGAGAGAGTAGTTTTGCTACGGCTGGGCTAGGAGAACACTTGTAGGTATAGAGGTGAGATGCTCGGCCAGGTAGCTCAAATACAGGTTTAAGGAGCCGAGCTGATAGAACAGACACGACCTAGGTGTACCGGCCTCCAAGAGCCCGGCAAAGTAGCCGACCACGGTATACCTCGAGGCCGGGTGGCATGGGGACAGGATAGACCGAAAGATGAGGTCAGATCAGACCTTAGGACAAGGTCAGAGACGTCCTCAATAAGGCCATAACAGACAGGATGGGAGGTCGGACTTACAACCTAAGGATCCTCAGGCTAAAACAGTAAAAAAGGGAAGAATCCCAGTAAGAAGGAAGATTCACTCGCTCAAGGACTCTTGCCAAGATAGAGACGTGGTAAATTAAGAAAGTAAAATCGAGATGGGTCTCTCCACTAACAAGAACTCTATTCGGCTCCAAGATATTATGTCCTATAAAAGAACGACGAGTTCTCTCGTATTACACATTTATTCTCTACATTTTCTATATTCACAGTTGAGCGAGTTCGTAGGAGAGTTTTTCGCTGGGAACCCCCTTCCAGCGTATAGCGGGTTATTGAAAGCTCGAGGAGGAGGATCGTTCAAGGTGGAAAGTGTTCAACCCGATCGTCTCCAAAGGTGATGTATCGAATTGGCGTCGTCTGTGGGAACGTCTCAATCTTTTACACGGTATAAGGGGCTAACGATATTCTCACAACTCAAAGATCCAGGAGACAGTTCAGGAAGCACGCAAGTAAACATGAAGGCAACAGCGACAACAAGAGCATCAAAAGGCAAAGAAATTCAGGTCCTAACTGAAGGTCCCTTGAACAAGAAGTTCACAGAAACGTGAATAAAGAAAAAGAAGTTGTGGAAATCTACAAAGAACCACCCGAGACTACTCTCAGTTTTATACCGAAAGATGCCGTAGATGTCCTGCTCCCACACAGTGATGCTCTGATCATGAGCATCGAAATTGAAAGCTACGTAGTGTGAAGAGTTATGGTGGACACGGGCAGCTCAGTCGACGTGATCTTTCTCAAATTTTTAGAGCAAATGGGCCTAAAAGAAAGGATAGTGCTAGTCGACACAACCCTTCATAACTTTGTTAGAGAAGAAGTCAAGCCAGTAGGCGAGGTGCACCTAACAGTCGTACTTGGAGAACTACTTTTGAAGTTAGGAAGGATGATTAGGTTTATGGCGTTGAATGCAACTGCATCTTATAATGTCATCATAAGGCGACCTAGTTTAAACTCCTTTCAAGCAGCAGTCTGAATCTACTATTTGAGGTGAAATTTTTGGTGGGAAGCAAGGTCGGAGAGGTCTTTGAGGAATAGCGGCAAGCTCGACAATGTTATCGGACTAAGATGAAGAACTCGAAAAACCAAGGAGCAAAGAAAGTCCCGAAGGCAGACCACCCATAGAGCTCAAATAGAGGCGAAAAAAAGGAAAAGTTGGAGATCACGTCACATGACGAACTCATGAAGGTTGAACTGGTGGTATGAGAGGTTGGCAAAGTCACAAAAGTAGGTCACCACCTTCCGAAGGACATCTAGATACCGTTGATCGCTCTATTGAGAGAGTTTGTAGATATATTTGCATTCTCAGCAGACGACCTAACATGCATAAGTCCAACAATAGCCGAAGACCGACTCAACATCGACCCGGCAGTCAAATCGATCAAACAGAAAAAAGGCACTTCGGTGCAGAACTAGACCAAGTTATCGAGGCAGAAGTTGATAAGTTACTGAAAGTAGGGCACATCAAACCTATACAATTCCCATAGTGACTATCCAACGATGTCATGGTAAAGAAAAGTAAGGGGAAGTGGCAGATGTGCATCGATTTCAGAGACCTCAACAAGGCATGCCCGAGGATCATTACCCTCTACTCAGGATAGACCACTTGGTGGACTCAACAGCAAGATGTGAGATCCTCAGTATGATGGATGATTCACAATGATACCACCAGATACCGCTAGCAGTAGAGTATCAAAAAAGAGTCATTTGTGACGTACAAAAAGGCACATATTGCAATGTGATGATGCCTTTTGGACTAAAAAATGTAGGAGCGGTCTATCTAATGGTAGTAGATCAGATGTTCCAAACAACTAATACTATTTTATATCAAATTAATTTTTAATTATTTTATTTAAAATATTATTTTAATATAAACTTAAAATTTCCCTAATAACTAACTATACTAACTTTTTTACAATTAACTATGATTAATAAAAAAAATTATTTTTAATTGATAAATTTATATCCAACACGCACCAAACCTCCAATTCTTCATCAATCTTGTAATTCAAATTTACAAAACTATTTGCTAGATAAGATGATCAGTCACATTTAACTGGATTGAGGACAATGTATAAATACTTACCGAAAACAGAAATGAAAATAAAAAACTACATGTATGAAAAAAGATAGGGGAAGGTCCACTTTTGGTCCTCCATGTTTAGGGGGTATCCAGACTGAGTCCCTATTATGTTTTGGTGCCCAATTTTAGTCCTTAAAACAAAAAAATGTAGTCCCTATAATTGGAAAAAATCCACTTTTAGTCCTCCATGTTTAGGGGTATCCAGACTTAATACCTATTATGTTTAGATGCCCAATTTTAGTCCTTAAAAAAAAAATGTAGTCCCTTTACCTCAATTTATGTGAATTAACGGTCCATTTTTGCTCGACCGTTATATTCTTTATTTTTTTAAAATTTGTTGACTAATGTCAACTTTGACCAAAGAAAAATAAAAGAAAATTTAAATACTGAAAAAGTAAAATAAAAGACAGAAATAGTGAACTGCAGTGAAACGTAAAAAAAAAACCCTAACCGCCTAGGGACTAAATCCGATCAAATGGATGAAAATGGTGTGGTATTTTGTAGATGTGAGCTGGTTGCAAAGTTGACTACATGCTGGAAGGATGATAATCTCGGAAGAAGATTCTTGAGTTGCCCTCTATATCCTGTAAGTACTTTCCGTGAACTTCAATTGGAATATGATAAGAAATGGTTAAAAAACAGAGGGTTGATAGGTGCAATTTTTTTCGATGGCATGACCCGGAAATGGGTGCAAGAGCATTAGCTGTGATTCCAGGCTTGCTCCGCAGCGCGAATGCTAGGGAAATAGAAATCAGACGAGCAAAAATTTTAATTTAATTTAGTGCAATTTCTTGTTTTAGTTTAATTTTTTATTAATATATTTTCAGCATTTAAATTTTCTTTTATTTTTCTTTGGTCAAAGTTGACATTAATCAACAAATTTTAACAAAAATAAAGAACATCACAGTCGAGCAAAAATGGACCGTTAATTCACAGAAATCGAGGTAAAGGAACTACATTTTTTTGTTTTATGGACTAAAATTGGGCACTAAAACATAATATGGACTCATTTTTTTGTTTTAAGGATTAAAATTGGACACCAAAACATAATAAAGACTCATTTTTTTGTTTTAAGGACTAAAATTGGACACCAAAACATAATAGGGACTCAATCTGGATACCCCCTAAACATGGAGGACCAAAAGTGGACTTTACCCAAAAAGATAATAATAAATACGAGTGTACAGTAGTTGTCGATTTTGAAAATAATGTAATAAATAAATTGAATTTAATAAATAAAATAATAAGATCTGGTAACTCAAAATCTATTTCCATTGAGGTAAAAACAAGTTGGACAGTTGCACCCACGCGCCGGGATGGGAGTGAGTTGTTATTATTGATTAAAAGGGGATGATATTTCCAAGGTTTGACATTTGGTGAACAATAGGTATGATTGTTTAATGTTAAAGAAAACAGAGGGAGATTCAGATACATCTCCCAATTCCACAATTATGGCAAAACCTGGTTCTCTTAAAACCACTGTCCGCTCTCTCCCACAGACAACTGCCCGCGACCCTAGTATTGTTTTTGTTTCCCCATTTTTTACACATCCAACCCCTCAAACCCCATTATGCATATATATACACGCCATCCTTCCTCCAAATTCATCTCTCATTCAATTTACCAGTCTATCCCCAGTTATTCAAAATGCGGATGAGTTGTAATGGCTGTAGAGTCCTCCGTAAGGGTTGCAGCGAAGACTGCAGCATAAGGCCGTGTTTGGAATGGATCAAAACTCCCGAGTCACAGGCCAACGCCACCGTCTTCCTCGCCAAGTTCTACGGCCGCGCCGGACTCATGAACCTCATCAACGCCGGTCCCCATCATCTTCGCCCTGGTCAGTGCACTTTTCTCTGTTTTCCCCTTTTTCTTCGCTAACAAACGCGTCCTTACGGTTACAATTAATTTTGCTTACAGCTATCTTCAAGTCTCTACTGTACGAGGCCTGCGGGCGGATCGTGAACCCGATATTCGGGTCGGTCGGGTTGATTTGGTCCGGGAACTGGCAGCTGTGCCAGGACGCTGTCGAGGCGGTTCTGAAAGGGGATCCGATAACCCGAATGGCCGCCGAGTTTGCCGAACACAAAAGCGGGCCGCCTCTCAAGACCGGCGATATAAGGCATATATTCAAGGAGGATGGCCAATCCGGGTCAAACGATCTGCGCCGGGTCAGGACCCGTTGCAGGTTCAAACGCTCTGCTTCCAAGTCGAAACGGAGTCGTGTATGGGTTGACCCGGTTGAAAGTGCGAACGAGGAGGAATTGACCCGGTCTCCGAGTCACGAGTCGTCTTTGAGCCAGCAGTCCGAGCCGGTCGATGAACGGACGAGTCAGCAGGGCGAGACTCGCGGTCCGCTTGAGACTTCCGAGCCGGAATTGGTAGTTGCTGGGCCGAATTCGAAATCAGACGGTGAGATTGAGCTGGATCTAACGCTAGGTCTGGAGCCTATAAAACGCGGCGTGAAGCCGAAGCCCATTAAAGCGGGTGATTCGGCTAGTGGATTTGGGAAAATGGAGTTAGGGCTTGACTGTTCGGTTTCATGAGAAAACGTCGAATGTCGGCGATCAATTTTGACGGCTCGGATCAATTTCCATTGATTTTCTCATTTTTGGTTTTTTATTCCCCCTTTTGTTTTTGGATGTGTCGTAGAAGCATAAATTCAATGTATTTTTTTTTTCTTGTATTTACTTTTAGGGCGGAAATGTTTCACACTATACATAATCTTTTTACACACAATTATGTGCATAATTTTTCTAATACATACAGTTCCATAAAAAGAAAAATTCAGCTAAAAAATTACGAAATGATATGAGATATTATAATTGCATATGTAAATGAATCGCATGAAGACAATATTGTAATTTGATTTGAATTTGTATTACATTATATCGACATCATTCGTTTTGGTGGACCGTGAAAAATATATTTTCTTGTGAAGAATTGAAACATTTATAGACTACAATACAGACTTTAGGAAGTGTTAAATATGAATTTTCTCAAGTATTAGATTTATAGACTACAATAGAGATTTTAGGAAGTGTTAAATATGAGTTTTCTCAAGTATGAGATTAATTGTATGCCAAACTCATTCTGCTTATACTTTAATAATATTTTAGTCTACTAAAGAAATATTATTGTACTCTCAATTTAGTCGTAAAATTAAATTTGAGGCTTCAATTATAATTATTTAATTTATCTCCCGTATTTAAGATATAATGTCTGTAAATTAATATAATTACTGACAATATAATTAATTTATTTTTTGAACTGAAGCTAGTACCACTCAATTCTTTATTATTATGTCGGAATTAAATCCGTCAGTTGGTCTTGATATAACAATCATTCTTCAGCTCACTTCGTCCACATCATCAAACTAATGAACACGGTGTGTATATAATCGAACACCACACCTTACAAACAACATCACTACTAACTCATCTAGACTATTGATCCAGCAGAATGACTCTTACTTTTTAGTGAATCAATGTAGCAGCTACTGAGTGCACATACATGTTACTATCTTACGGATTAAACGTACGCAGTAATTAACTGATGTCTAGTTTGCTTATTTAGTCAGTATAAAACTAACTTATCCCCTTTGATCCGTTCAATACATGTGAGATGCACTAGTTAATTCATTAATAAACATCAACCAGTCCAAATTACACTACACACTTCGTGACATCTAGGTTGTGAACCAAACTTTATATTTTACAAGTAACAAATAGTATGATCTTTTGTTCATCCGTGATGAACCATATCTATCAAAATATAAAACATCATAACGTATGACTGTTTAATTAAGGCCGAATAGGACCGATCGATCAAGGCCGAAATGGACGGGCAAGATCAAAGGAGTCGTTGATGCTCAAAAAATGTCAGCAACAGGGGGTGAACTGTACACTAAATTGTGTACTCTGTTCAATCTGCACGAATAGATTTTTTATGGAAATATGGGTTGAATCCCTCTTCTATTGATGACTTTTGGATATATCTTTTTATGAGAACAATACATGATTAAGCTATACAAAAATAGGAAAATATTAGTAATAAGGCCTCTCAGAGATTTTGATGTTTTCTCTCCTTTTTTTTTTTNCTTGCTTCTCTCAGGCTTTTTATATAACTAGTTTATAGTGTAGCACAATTGTACTACAAGTACTATTCATCATATGTAGTACAAGTTACTATTCATCATTTGTGGCCCTGTTCGGTCCGGACTACTTTCTGTTCGTATCCTCTATTTATTTATTAACTGTAGCCAAATTGGGTACCAACAAGAGGCCCCCGAATTTAGAACATGTTCTTAACAGAACTGTTCTGAAGTCGCGTTTATTTACAATTTGGCAATGCTTATGTTTGTAGTCTTTTGAGCTTGGGGCTCTTTACGCTATGATAAATGACATTTGCGTGATACATATGATCACGTTTTTATCTTATCGGCGTTTGCAAGTAAATGCGCATTGATATGAAATTTCTGGGTGCTTTGGACCCTTGTACGCTTCGTCGATTGTTTTTTTAGGCTTTGGCTTGACGAATTTGTGTTAGTTGTGCTCTTTTGCACTTTGACGAGTGCGAGTTAGTGGAATGGATAGACAATTCTTTGGAATTGCTATTGAATGGGGCCTAAATGGCCTGGTCGGGTAATTTGGTACCCGATTTTTCATTTTGTGCAATGCGAATAGTTTGCTCGTTTTTTGTAAAGATGGTAATGGTATGGATTTGTGCGGGCACTCGGGCCCCTTGGATTTTTAGCGATTGGTATGAAGACGCTCGCTGATATGATTTGCATGGCGGTTCTGAGTTGACCGTATTTGGGTGATTCGAAAATTGACTTCTGTGGCGGTTTTAATACTTTATGTTGACCTGTTCGGATAATTTGACATCCGGTCTTTGGCCTTGTTTCTCGTAGGAACACATTTTGGATACTAAACATGAGTGAGCTTCGAGCTTTTTGTCTAAGTGAGCTTTGAGCTCTTATGCCATGCATGAGTGTATGCGTAATGCGAGCATGTGATGAATGCGTCAGTTTATGATAAATGTATGTGATGGATTTCGATGCTCTTAGCGCCTTGAATCTTCCTTGTTATGCGAATGAATGTCTTTCCCGGACTAGTTAGCGCTGTCCGATTGTGGGGTCGATTATCCCCGTATGATTTCGTTCATTTTGTGCCAGATAAATTTACGTTATCCGGTCGTTTACCCTTATTGGGTTTTATTCGTTTTGCGCCGAACGGATTTATATTGTCCGGACTTATTACCTTAACGAGGTCATATTAACGTCAAACAAATTTACGTTGTTCGGACTTATTATTCTACTGGGGTCTCATTAGTTACGTCGGACAAATTTACGTTGTCCGGTCGTTTTACCCTAATGGGGTTTCATTTGTTTTTCGTAGCTCGTAGTTTTATGGCATTGCGGCCTCGTGGCTCATAGGTTCAGTCGGAATCGAGGCTTTACGACGATGAAATTTGGATATCGACTCAGCCGGAGTCGAGGCTCTACGGCGAGGAAATATAGATGTCGCCTCAGCCGGAGTCGGGACTCTACCACGATGAAATATAGATGTCGACTCAACCGGAGTCGAGACTCTACGGCGAGGAGGTATGGATGTCGACTCAATCGGAGTCGAAACTCTACGGCGAGGAAATATAGATGTCGACTCAGCCGGAGTCGGGACTCCACGGCGAGGAAATATACATGTCGACTCAACTGGAGTCGAGACTCTACGGAGAGACTCTACGGAGAGGATGTATGGATGTCGACTCAGCGGGAGTCGGGACCCTACGGCGAGGAAATATAGATGTCGACTCAGCCAGAGTCGGGACTCTACGGCGAGGAAATATAAATGTCGACTCAACCGGAGTCGGGACTCTACGGCGAGGATGTATGGATGTCGACTCAGCCGGAGTCGGGACTTTACGGGGAGGAAATATAGATGTCGACTCAGCCGGAGTCGGGACTCTACGGCGAGGAAATATAGATGTCGACTCAGCCGGAGTCGGGACTCTACGGCGAGGAAATATAAATGTCGACTCAACCGGAGTCGAGACTCTACGGCGAGGATGTATGGATGTCGACTCAGCCGGAGTCGGGACTCTACGGCGAGGAAATATAGATGTCGACTCAGCCGGAGTCGGGACTCTACGGCGAGGAAATATAAATGTCGACTCAACCGGAGTCGAGACTCTACGGCGAGGATGTATGGATGTCGACTCAGCCAGAGTCGGGACTCTACGGCGAGGAAATATAGATGTCGACTCAGCCGGAGTCGGGACTCTACGGCGAGGAAATATAAATGTCGACTCAGCCGGAGTCGAGACTCTACGGCGAGGATGTATGGATGTCGACTCAGCCGGAGTCGAGACTCTACGGCGAGGATGTATGGATGTCGACTCAGCCAGAGTCGGGACTCTACGGCGAGGAAATATAGATGTCGACTCAGCCGGAGTCGGGACTCTACGACGAGGAAATATAAATGTCGACTCAACCAGAGTCGAGACTCTACGGCGAGGATGTATGGATGTCGACTCAGCCAGAGTCGGGACTCTATGGTGAGGAAATATAAATGTCGACTCAACCAGAGTCGGGACTCTACGGCCAAGAATGGGGACATCAGCTCCGGCATATATAAATTTGGCCCCGGAATTGATAAATGAGGTTGAAAACGAGCAAATAATGAATCGGTCCGGTGGGACTGGGCGTGTCTGCGAACGAATAATATATAGGCCCGGTAGAGTTGGGGCTCGTCGGCGGGCTGGGTGGAGATGTCGGCCTGGCCGGAGCGATGGCTCGACAGCGGGCGAAATAATAAGGTCGGTCCGGCAGAGCAGAGGCTCGTCGCCGGCTGGATGGAGATGTCGGTCTGGCCGGAGCGATGGCTCAACGGCGGGTGAAATAATGAGGTTAGCCCAGCAGAGCAGGGGCTCGTCGGCGGGCTTGATGGAGATGTCGGACTGGCTGGAGCGATGGCTCAACGGCGGCCGAAATAAGGTCTGCCCGACAGAGCAGGGGCTTGTCGCCGGGCTGAATGGAGATATCGGTCAGGCCGGAGCGATAGCTCAACGGCGGGTGAAATAACGTCGGTCTGTCAATGAAGATCGGATGATTGTTTCGGTGACAATCAACTTGGTGGTCCGTCATCTGATCGTGATTTCGAGCTTGGCCGTGATCACGTGGCTCCGCATTTTTCAGATCAGGTGATATGCTTGTCGCTTTCGTACCGCTCGCAGATTCCGGCACACCCAGTGGAGACATGTTCATCTCAATTGTGGTCAGTCACCTTTAGTCCCGCCGGCGGGTGGTTATTGGTTCGGCAGATTGATTCTGACGGCGAAGCGGTTGGCCCCCGTTGCGATGTGGAGATCCGTTGGCAAATAATTGTTGCGACTTTGGCCATCTCGTTTTTTTATTATATATATATATATATATATATATATATATTTTATTTATCTTTGAATGTTTGTTCGTGAGTAAAAGCTTGAACATTGTGTCAATGTCCCTTATAATGTCTAATTTAATGTATTTATACAAGATATAAATGGAAGGACAACGTTTGTCGTGTGTCAACTAAGGGTGCACTTGACAGACACGTGTTTGGGGGAGGAGCATGCACGGAGACAAGTGTTAGTGTAGCTTTTGAAGATGAGACATGATTGTGCAACCGCTTTTCCGATTCTTTTTCACACTGAACAATCGCTTTTTCCATTTCATATTCACACTGAGTCGACAGATCGATGCTGAGAATCGTGAACGAATCGACACGACTTGCCCTTTGACCCTACGGCCCAGTAGTGTGCTTCAGGGCCCAAAATGAAACATAAGCCCAATACGAATGGTTCCATTAAATCTATT